TATAAATAACTAGTTAAAAATTTATAAAAAAAATTTATTTATTTTAATTCTTTTTCAGCAGTCTTCCTAGTTCTATTTATTAAAAAATTAAATAAAAGCCTAAGATTTTATATAAATTATTATATTTTAAATATTATTTTAATTAAGAATTATTACCCGTTGCTGCTGGTCAAGAAGATCTTAAATAATTTAAAAAAAATATAGTATTTTATTAAGATTAATATTATCAGTATTTTTAATAATATTTAGATTACTAAAGACCAGAAATACCTGATAATATTTTATATAAAATTTAATCTTTATAAGTTATTAATTATATTATTTAAATTATTAAGAGTTCTTGCTATTTTCTAGTATTATATTAATAATATTTTATAAGATTATCTAAATATATTTTATATAATTTATTTAAATAATATTTTTATTTATAGCTGAATTAAAAATAAGTATTTAAATTATATTAAAAAAATTTTCTAAAAACTCTATACAGCCGGCTTATTTATTAAATTATTTAAATATAAATTTATTATTTTTGAAACCAAGTTCCTGGGCCTTATTATAAACTATAATAAATTTTATATAAATTTTAAAAAAATTAAAACTATTATTAATTAGCCTGTTTTAATCTGTATTATTAATATATAAATTTTTTTAAATTTTAATAATTTTTATTATTATTTTATTTAAGATTTTTTTAAGTTGACTACCCTGCTTGTATATCTTATTAAAAAAAATATTTTTTTTTAATAAAATATACTTTATTAAAATATTTTTAATTATTTATAAAAAATTTTTATAGATACTTCTGTACTCCAGCTTTTTAATTAAATTTATAAAATAATATTTAAAATTAATATCTCTAATTATATTTCTATTAAAATTTTATTTTAATATAATAATAATAGTCTGCTGCACCCTGTTACCTTCTTTTTTAAAAAATATATTTTAATAAAATATAATTATAAAATTTATAATAAAAAACTTCTTATAATTATCTACTGCTTTGAAAAATGGTATTTAAAATTTAAAAAAATTCTATTTTTAATTTAAGTTATTATAGATTATTATAATCTAAAATATTTTATATTTATTAAGCTTCTGAACTGCCGCCAGGCCTAATAATTAAAATTTTTATTTTATTTTAATTTTTATATTATTTACTATTCTAGATATTATGGAACTAAATTTAATAATTTAATTAAAAAATTAAAAGATCTTTTTAAAGAGAGAGATAAATAACTATTATATTAAAATTAAATTATATTTAAATAAGAGAATCTAGACTTTGCTTATTTTATAAAAAAAAATCTTAATTTATTATTTATATATAAAGATTTTATAAAAGACTTTTATAGAATCTTCTTAGATTTTATTTATTTTATTAATAATAAATCTGAATAATTACAGGAATCTAATTTATTAATTACTTAAAAAAATTTTATAAAAAACTTTTATAAATTTATCTTAATTCTAGTAATCTGATAATTAATCCAGATTATTTTTAAAAATAAATAAAATTTATAATTATTTTTTAAAATCTAGATTACCCTGCAAGATATATATAAGAAAAATAAATAAATATTAAATATTTTAAAAATATTAATAATAGATAAGAATTAATATCCAGATATTTTTTTAGCTTTTTATAAAAGAAAAAGAAGTCTGTTATATTATAAGAATTATTTATAAATTCCTGATTATACTGATCTGAAAATTAATTTAATTTATTTAATTTATAATAAGTTCTTTTTAAGATATTCTAGAAAATCTTATATTTATAAATTCTTAATCTGAGAATACTACTGGCTAAACTAATATTATTATATAGAATAATAAATAAGAAACTATTATATTTATTAAAGAATAATTTTCTTATAAAAGATTAAGTAAAGTATTCTAAAACTTTTATTAATTTTAAAATATATTTAATAAAATATATTTATAGATTTTATTATTTATCTACTAGAGAATAAAAATTATAATATAATATTAATAATTATTAATTATTTAATTAAAATAAAGTATCTAATCTTTTATAATATTATAGTTAATACTGTTATTGTAGCTTTTATATATATTTAATATATATAGAAATTATATAAATTATCTTATTCTATTATCTCTGACAGAAGTCTTTAATTTATTATTAATTTTTAAAAATATTTAATCCAGTACTTAAATATCAGAAGTAAATTATTAATAATTTATTATTTAAAAATTAATAAATAGATAAAGTAAATAAATATTATATTTAAATAATATTTTTATATTTATATAAATTATCTACAGGATAACTGGTCCAGCTAATTATTTTTAATTAAATTTATTTTAAATATTATTTATTCTAATATAATTAAGATTATTTTATTTTTTATTAACTATAGTTTTTATTTTTATATAAAATTTAAATCTATACCTGTACTGAACTGATTTATTATTAAAAATATAGAATAATTTATTATTAAAATATAAATAATTACTAAGTTTATATAAGCTGAGATAATTATAGTCTAAACTAAATATATAAAATAAATAAATAAAAGATATTATTTTAATTTAAAATTTTAAAAAGACTAGGAGATCTAGCTAAATATTTAATTTATTAAAATTTTATAATTTAATAAAAAATTTAACTAAAATATTCTAGACTTATATCTAATTAAATAAATTATTAATTTATATATTTACTGCTTAATACTTCTATCCAGTATAAAAATTTATCTAGTATTTTATATAAATTTATTTATTTTTATTAATAATAATTTATTATTAGACTAGTACCAGTCTCTCTTTTTTTATATTAAAATTAATAATCTTGAAAAATAAAAAATTAAAAATATATTAAATTTTCTCTAGAATTATTATAGATAAGATTAATTTTGGCTGCTTTATCTTATTAAATAAATAAAATATATTAATTTTATTATAAAGTCTGCTGAATATCTAAAAAATATTTATTAAATTATTAAGAATTTTTATTACTATTATTTAAATAAGTCTGGATCTTTTTTTCACAGAAGCTTAATTTAAGAAAAAAAGAAATATTATTATAATATTAATTATAAAATATTATCTGGACTGGCTGCCCGGGCATATAATTGAAAAAGATATAAAATTTATTAATTTTTTAAATTCTGTTTATAACTTTAAGTTATATCTTATCTATTTTTTTATATATAGTTTAATTATAGCTAGCCAGCCAGTCTCCTGTCTGTTTCTGTTTCCTGTTCAAGCTACCTTCCTACCACCCCTGCCAGCCCGCACCTTGACAATCAACCACTACTACTTCTATGAAGCTTTAACTTTGTAGATAGATTATATATATAAGAATAAGTATTCCATTGATTTTTTCAGATTTTTAAAATTTTTACCTTTATAATAAAAACAGATTCTTATATAATACATATAAAATACAGATATTGTAACATGATAAGTCTTTAAATAGATTTATATTAATTTTTAAAAGGTATATAGATATTCTTTATACTATTTTAAATCTATATAGAAAAAGTCTAATTCTTCTAGACCTGGGTGGTAGAGATATATTGTGTTTAAAAAGATATCTTTTATATAGTATTACCAGGTGGCCCGCCTGACCGTGTGGCCCGTCCGACCGTTGATTACGTTATACTTAATTATGATATACCAGGCTGACTGATCCCTATTCTTTCTCCAGACGCTGCCATGTATTGTTGTTTTACTGCTTCTTGTCTTCTATATCTGCTGTTTTCGCGCACGTCAACATTCCTAATCTATTTGTTTTTCTGAACTTTCTAATTTTTATTTATTTATTTTTTTTTATTTCTTTTTTATTTATTTATTTATTTTTTTAGTTGCTTTGTTAATAATATGTCCTGGTGCCTCCACTGCCGTACCTTACGGGAGTGAGGGTCTGGGTGAGAGTGATATCAGCTCCGCTGGTAGCGAAATTTTCTTGGATGATGAGTCTGATAATGACTCCAGCAGCGACCTGGAACTAAATAGCGATGGGTTTGATGATGATGATGATGATGATGATGATGATGAACAGGATGATGAATTCTTCTATGATGAAGGCCAGCTAGTCCTGGAACATTATCTGGCTGAAGCAGAGGAATCTAGATGTTTCTCGGGTCCGGTAGAAGTGGTATAGTGATACTACACAGAACACAATAGACGAGACTCGCGTCTACTGGGATAGGTAATAAATCTCCTTGAGCTACTGTATCTGAGAAGCTAATTGATACATGCCTTGGTAGGTACTGTTAATATATTGGTTGGGACTCAAGCCAGCAGTGGCAGTGGATCTCGGATTCAGAGAAGACTGTTTGTTTTCTCTATGGATTCTTCCTGTGGTGTTGTGATGTTCGACGCGGTAAGCAAGGATGACATTGCCTGGGGATCAGATATAAAAGCTTGCTAGAGTTCTTCTGGAAGTGGTAGTATCTGGTTCTGAAGCAGTAGGCTGTGGTGGGATTAAGTAAGGAGATCCAGGTAAAGGTGTAGGATGTAAGCTCATAAAATCTCTCTGCTCTGTTTTTATATAGAAGTCTAATCTTTGGCTACAGGTTATTGCTATTGTAGCGGAGCAGAAAGGCTTAGAACTCACGCGGCGACCGAAGAAGAATATGTATATTGAAGATGTTGCTGAGTTTGCACGGGTTCTCTTGACCACTACTGAGATGATATTTGAGTGTGGGTGGTAATGTATTCAACTTTTTGTCTTTTGCCAACTTGCTGTCATTACTGCAAGTTGTCCAGAGGCGCTTCTTGAGCTTCGCTACTGCGATATCACATTAACTCTTATCCGAGATCCGGAGAGTGGATGGCCAGTACTAATTGTTTTTCTAAGACCGGAGTTTACAAAGAAATTTCTCGGAAAGAAGGCACCGTACGTATCCAATATTAGAATTTCTAAATCTAGTGACTGATACCTTTATTGGACAGGAACGAGTTTAAGATTCCCGAGATTATTTTCGACCCTACTTTGGCTCTTAGTCCGCACCGTTTTTCTTCTTGGTATGCTTTTCCATATCAAAGGCTTCAAGTCAATCAGTACGACAGGACCAGTGCTAGATAGCCCAGAAAAGCTCTACAGCCTTACTGTGCTGGAGGGTTTAAGGCAGCAGGAGCTGAAACTAAAAGACGAACTCCTCGACAAGTACGTGTTCTGCCAAACAATTCGGGAGACAACCGGTTTTCGAATCGCCTTGGAGATAAAGTTGCTGGCCTCAACGCTCCGATCCCGGATGTGCCGCGCTGGCCAGATTACTGGCTTTGACGCTGTAACAAAGCCGTATATTCTTCGGTATGCTGGAGCTAAAGCTTTTAATAGCAGTGATGCGTATTATTAGAATCTTTTTGCCACTGAGGGTGTTAGCACGGTGAATAGGCGAAGTCACCGACGCGCTACAAAATGTCATTTTACAGCATGCCGACATCCGCACATTCATCCGCCATTATGAGGTAGATGTCGATGTCGACGTCCAAGGGATCATCCGCAAGACAGGTTCTCAGACCCCGCTGGTGCGGTTCGCGTGCTCGTTAAGCGCATCGATAGACCCGGACCGGCCCTATTGGCTTTCAGCCGATGAATCGAAGTCCCTCAATCAGCTCCCGGAAATTCGTAAACGGCAGCAGGTTGTTGTAGAGCGAAAAGAAAAGTGGAAGAATCGAGAGACTGAATAAGCATGTGCTACGCTAGCCTTGCGAGCTTCGTTTGATCAGCTTAGCGACGAAGCTTCAACTTATCGCTCTCACCAATCACAAGAGAAGATAGAAGTCTTGCAGGACCGGGTGCTAGAAGCCAAGCGAAAATACAACAAATCTGTTCGTGAAGTGAGAAATGAGAAGCAACGACAGCGAAACCGACAAATCAGGGAGAATCTAAAACGGTATAGAAACGAGCAACCCGTGATTGACCTAGAACGGCAGCTGGCGGGGAAGCTCGTCAATACCAAAGTGATGGACGCCCTAGAGCAGAGGAGATCTATGCCGGGGCAGCAAATGCTAATGATTGACGCTATACTTACCATGCTTGGCGCCACTCTGGAAGCGGAGCAGCGGCGCCTGATCAACGCAATCAATGCTGTGACTGCTTTCTGCGGCGTAGAAGAGGGCCGTCCTACACGACGACCGTCAGGACCAGGATGGCGACCTGCACCCGACTGTGACGAATCCCACGCTTCTGTTAAGCGGCGACGAATCTGCGCGGACGACGAGACTGAGTTAGCCCTACGCCAAGCGGTAAAATCTGTGCGGGTCACTTCTCCAAAGCAACGACCCCGGATCTGCTTTCTCTGCTTAGGGAATCCAGACCTCCCACTAAGAGACCGCCTCTTACAGCATACAACGCCCGGTTCGCTCACAAGGCACTTTCTACGGAAACATGTAAACCCCCCTTGGCCGGATACAGGGGTGAGATGTGAAATCTGTCATGGAACGCCATTGCAGCAAAAGTCTGAGCTCCTGCATCACGCGCACGTTTGAGTATCTCTGGTACAGCATGGTTGTTTTCCCTTGAGTTCTGTTCTTTACCTATCCTGCCAAGTCCATCGCCGTTCATCTCGGGCTGCTTGTTCAGCGATGGCGACGGTACGGAAACCCTGTATAATCTTTTCTTTCGAAGACTCAATGATGATGGACCGAAGTATTGATATGTGACTACACACTGTATTGCAAGGATACAAGAACTCGCCTTCGGACGACCTATCGAGTGGTGAGGTCAGATACCATCTATTGGGCTTTTCGTTCGTGATTTGCGTTTGCTCGAAAGTAGTAATATTATATATATTCTCTCTGCAGTCTTCATGAGCGTGGCACACTATGGCGTAATCCGCGTCCGCGGGAGGGAGGGGGAGGTAGTGGTGATTTGGGACTAGTATTGTCTGGGATGGGAAACTCCGGGTTGGGCTCCCGGTGGTGGGAACTCACTGGAGCTATACTAACTCGTCTTTCCCTCAACGGGAAGCACGAGACCGAGACGTGCTAAGAAGTACTATCTAATTTGTATAAGGCTCACTCCACAGCCGAACATGGCTGTCTAATACGAGTAATAATGGGCCAAATCTCGCTATTTCCGCCAACTCTTCCAATCACAGAAATACTACCCGATAATAACCAATGTGGCTATTTTCTGCCCACCATATAAGTCTTTGTTCCAAGACATTGATTTCTTGTATCGACAGCTGCTTCCCTATATGCGGGTTTCAACTTCACAATTTATCCAGTCGGTCCCTATAACGTGATTGCTGGGACCGAGCAACTAATAGTGCATATCTATACTATAGCTGGTGGCTGGAAGTGGTCATCTTATCCAAGTCGGCCTATGCTGATAGTGTATGATCTCTAAAGTCATCGTTCGGGACTAGTATCGGGTTTGGGTTACATCTCCGACGGAAGTCGCTCCGTAACTTGCGGACTTGTTTGCGCCGCCACACAGGACCATGGGTAATCCATCATCGGCAATGAGTTCAGAACTCCGAACGCCGGGTATATCAACATGCAAATTCCGATCACGCGATATCATTGACTACAGCACCTTCGATGTGACGACATTGTATGCGGTCATTATGTGGTGAGGGGTAAAGGATGCTATTTATTTAGACTCCTTGTCCCAGCTCTCAGACCAGCCAAGATTTTCGAAGCTCACGGGTGTAATTGTCGTTCAAGAGATCAATAAAGGTTTTTCTCTACCACGCTCGCCCAGACTAGAGACAAAGATGGAAGGGCACCTGGGAAAAGGGGTCTCTGGAGTTCAGACCATATGGCACGGAGTGAGTATCGTTCTACTTGTGATTTCACCTCGCGATTTCTCTCTCCCCTCTTTGTCCCAACTTGCCGGCTTATTATGGACCCATTTCTCTAATCTATCCTCAGGATGGCCGTGAAAGGGGACTCCTAACTCATCTGCTCAACCATCCAGAACTTGACAAACTACGAAACAGACCCACGGCCATCCTTAGTGAAATCGACCGCTGGGCGGCAGAGCATAACTATTGTATGATGACCATCGGCACAGAGAGGAGCAAACCTATCGTTGACTTGATCCACGAATGCGAACCTCAAATCATGGCCGAGCTCGGCGGGTATATTGGCTATTCTGCAATACTATTCGGGAATGAGGTGCGGCGTGCCGGTGGTACACAGTACCTTAGCCTGGAGAGTAATACGCAATATGCGAGTATAGCGAAGGAACTAGTTCAGCTTGCTGGCTTAGGGGACTTTGTTCGGATTCTTGTTGGGCCTAGTTCCGAGTCTCTGGTGAGACTTTCAGAAGCAGGATACAAGAAGGTTGACATACTTTTTATGGACCATGCGGAGAGATTGTATCTCAGCGATCTCAAGCTGGCGGAGGAGCTAAGGCTGGTAGAGTCAGGGGCGTTTGTGGTAGCTGATAATGTTGAAAGTTATCTGGCCAAGGAATATGTAAGATGGGTTGATGATGGCCAAGGGCGCAGGTATGAGTCACGCAAGCTGGATTACATACTTCCCAACGGTGAACTGGTGAGTTAACCAAGATTTTGATGCACTGTGCACTCTTATGCTGATACTCTCTTGCTTTCTGTACATAGGATGCAGTTCTGACCACCAAAATACTTTAGATTTGCGGGATCAGCGTTTATGGGAATGTCTATGGTATATGGGTGGTACCTGTCGCAAACATAACGTAACCCACGGTTAAGCGGCCCACACTGGTTATCCCATATAGAAGATGTTTTTATTTATTTTTTTTTATTTAAATCTTCTATATCTCAATTAATACTGAATCTAATCAGTTCTAATTTTATATATGAGCAATATACAGCAGAATGAATAATATATAATTTCTCTAGATTTTTAAGAATTTTTTGTATGAAATATATCAATGTATCCAAAATTACAGATAAATTACAGATTTTGTAATATGATAAGATACTATTTATATTTATATAGATTTTTAAGAAATATAAGATAGTTATTTATATAATTTAAAATCTATTCATACAATATTGAGTCTTCTAGTCTTATAATGGTTGAGATATCTTGTGTTTAAAAAGGGTCTTTTCATTTTGTATAGTATTACCAGCCGGGCCGCCTAACCGTGTGGGCCGCTTAACCGTGGGTTACGTTATTCCATAGTTCATAGCCTTATTCTTCCACCTTTTTTCTTGTCTCTTCCCCCTTTCTCAGACCCCCGAGGTGCTTCTAGTGTTTCTAGATGCTCTCATTCGGCTCCATAGGGCGAATCCCAGAAGCGTATAGATTTCCGTGTTGGAACCCAATTTTGGAGATCGTCAAAAAGTGGCATGCCCTCAAGCAGAGACGAGATGATATCGCCGAGACTCAAGTGCTCTTGTATGGCATCCAATACTAGGGTACTTCGGCTCTATCAGAGAACGGACCGGTTGACCGCATTGCATCGGCTTTTGGCGTTCGTGGGTCCCATTCTCTTCTCCGATCCGGACTAGGCCGCTTCCGACCTGCGTAAAGGTATCGGAGTTACCATTTGTGCCATCGGAGATGATTTGGAACATACTAAGTTCTACCAAATCGACGGTGGGTCGCTAGGTTGTCCTGCATTACTGCCGACGTGTTCTGCAGTTGCAGGGATGTACGTAAACCTCTATGGGTCGTGCTTTGTGCGGATGCTATCCTCATTTCACAGGGGTTGTATCTCCGGCACCGCATGAGGTCTAAGCGCTCACATAGTACCAAGTTCTTGCTGGCCGTTAACTGCGAATATATCACTCTTTATGAGAGGGGTATCACAAGAGTACATGCCACCTTTGTACCTGTCTGAAAAACGAAAACTGTACTTTGGTGACACCGGTGCTGTGGATCAACTGAGACAACGGACATTATCCGCTGCTCCAAACGTACAGACGTGTCGAAGCGAAATATGGTATTTTTCTATACCTGTTCAGCGAGGATGCATTATACATGCCGTCAACACTCGAACAAACTACTTTCACAGTCTTAAGTTTCACTATAAGGTGACATCCTCCGGAAACAATGGCTCTTGTAGATAGCCCGCACCATACGCAAAATACGTTTGGGTGTTCCCGCTGAGATTCAATAGCTGATAGTCATCGTTTCAGTAACGTAGATTCGTACATGGGACTCACCGGCGAGCCCATAAGATGACCCACATAGCTACATGGCCAGGAGAATTTGTCTGGTTTAATGAGGGAGGACCAATGATTCGTCGTCGTTTGAGGGAACTAGCGCTCTGCTCAAAATCTTGTCACCTATAAATTGCCGGATCCTTCGTCCACCTTCTTATCTGATGATCTGATAATTTGGAAAGTTCTGGAGCTAAGAGCCTTCCCCGTTCCTCAAAACTTGAACAAGTCTATCCAGAATGAAAGTCGTGGATAATTTGGCCGACTCACAGGCCGGAGATACTGGTCAGTGTGCCTGCTACAGGTTGGCGTCCTGTCGAGACAACAAGAGTTCCTAACGACTTTCTCCAGAGGACAAAAAATCAACTGAAGAGCTGCTACAGGCGGCTCAGATTGAAAGAGAAGATGACAGTAAAACCCAGACTTCTCTTACTGTGAGGATGTGGGTAATCAGTGTTATCTTCTCGCTGATAGGTTGTGGATTGAACACCCTTTTCACCCTTCGAAACCCATCCATCAGTATTGATAAGCCAACCGCCCTGTTGTTAGCGTTTCCTGCTGGGCGGCTTTGGGATATCTGTGTCCCTAACTACTCTATAACGATTTATGGGACGCATTTCTCGTTAAACCCCCATCCGTTCAATACAAAGGTAAGATCTATACCTCTGTGGCGGAGGTTGGATTCTCACTAACGTCGCCGGTGTAGGAACACGTCTTGATATACGTTATGGTGAACATCACATTTTTTACCCGGATGACAGCGGACCTCATCGTGGAACAGAAACACTTCTTTGGCTTGGATTCAGGATGGGCGTACGAAGTACTAATGATATTGTCGCTGTTTTTGATAGGCTTTGCCTTCGCCGGTCTCACTCGACAGGTACTCGTGGAGCCTCGTCACCTCATCTGGCCTGGACTTCTCAGTTCAACGGCGTTGATTTCGACTCTCCATGGCCGCGTGACCTCTACCTCAGAGGGAGGGTATGGAGCCAATCACCCTGACGCTGCACCTTACTGACAAGTTCACAAGGAAATCACATGGGAGGCTTTCGGCTTTTTCATTCTTTTGTATAATGTTCACTGCTTCGTTCGTCTGGTATTGGCTGCCAGATTTTCTCTTTCCTGCATTGAGTTATTTCAACTTTCCTTGCTGGGTTCGACCGCATAGCCCGGTAGTGAATCAAGTCTTTGGAGTGTCCAGTGGCATGGGCCTCTTGCCTCTGACCTTTGATTGTGGGTGGTTTGAAAATACTCTACGTGCCGAGAGCAAAACTGATGCGGTGGTGGGTTTATTTAGGGAGTCAGGTGGCCTACATTGGATCACCGTTAGTGGTCCCATTGTGGGCCATTGTCAATGTTGCCGTGGCGCTTGTTGTGTGGATTTACGCCGTTTCTACGGCATTATACTATAAAAATGTTTGGAACACCGCATATCTTCCCTTCCAGAGCACTTCAAGTAAGTCATACCCCATCGAATAACGCAGTCGCTGCTTCCGTTGGAAGGATAATAATGTTGTCAAGTTTTCGACAACACGGCTGCGACATACAACGTGAGTAGAATACTCAGCGACAATACTAACTTCACGTTGGACGTTTCAAAATATGAGGACTACTCACCGGTAGGCATTCCACCCTGAGAAGTTGCATTAATCGGCAACGCTCACCTCGTTCAAGGTATTCATGCCTATCACATACGCGATGAGTACATTCGGTTTGGCCATTGCGACCTTGGCTTCGCTGATAGTCTGGGTTATTTTGGAACATTGGGATTCTGTCTCCTTGCCCTTCAAGGGGCTGCGCAATCTGCACCGGATCTTCAGCAGAAGTGGGCGCACTGACAGGGTGACCAGGAGTACGAGTGACGTGCCGGTCTTGTGGTATATCATCTCGTTATTTCTTGGACTGTTCCTAGCAGTTTTTTCGGTGGAGTATTGGCGCATTCAGTTACGGTGGTACGGAGTCCTCTGCGCCTTTGCTATTGGTGCAGTATTTTATTTCCCGGTAAGTGAAGTGGGGATATCCCAAGTGCCAAATCGCGGATAATGGGAGGCGCGTGTTAATCCCCGCTAGGTAACACTGATCTATGCAAACGCCAATATCAAGGTCGGCGTCGAGTCATTATGTCGGATCATAGGAGGTCTCCTCTGGGAGGGGAAGGTGCTTGCCAATGTCTGGTTTGTTGGCCTGGGGTACACCACCATTTTAGATGGTCTATCATTCTCCCAGGATATGAAGCTCTCTCTCTACTATGGTGTAGGCCGTCTATCCCAATCCAGCTGCACAGGGCAAGATGCTAACGTCTTAAGATTTCTCCACACGAGGTCTTTGTAGCTCAGAGCGTCGGGATCATCATCGGCACACTAGGTCAAGTCGCTGTCGTGAACTGGGCCCTCGGACACATTAAAGGCATCTGCACAACCGAGGCGATAAATGGGTTCTCGTGTCCTTACTCGCGGACTAATTTCAATACTAGTGTTATCTGGGGCGCGATCGGCCCGCGGCGCTTTTTCTCACCAGAGTCTGGTTATAGACACCTATTCTACCTGTCGATCATAGGGGCTATACTACCAGTTTTCGTGTATCTGCTAAAGCGATGGTACCCGGGATCCTTCTGGAAGAGTGTCAGTGTTCCTTTACTCCTTGGTGGCCTGAACTACATGCCGCCCGCCAGTGGCATGAATTACGGAAGCTGGGCTGTTGTCGGGTTGATCTTCGGATATTTTGTGCGCAAGCGCTATAACGGCTGGTGGCGCCGCTATAACTTTATCCTCAGTAGTTCGCTAGAGACGTCCGTGTCTTTAGCTGGCGTGGTGATCTTCTTTGCGGTGTATTATCCAAGCGTGTCGGATCGTGTGGCATGGTGGGGAACAGATGTCTACAAGGTACCGCCTCTCTCAGTCTCATCCCACGAGAGAAAGATTATTGACGGCTTCGACAGAACACTTGTGACTGGTTGGGATGCCCGTATCTGTCGCTTCAGCCGGGCGCGAAGATTCCATAAGCATGCTTTGTTGACCGTTGTTCCCCGATTGACAACAACTTGGTGGAACGTGATGTCCGGTAGTTCCGAGATTCATAGCAGTTGCGGAGCTCAGGAACGCAGGGTGGTTACCAGCACTGGATGCTCTGACTTCCTGGCTCCACGGTTTTCTGTTCGTTTCACATCTTGCAAGATTGCGAACTGTCATCTGAGAATTTACCAAACTGTATATCCCTATATACTAGTAGAAGTTCTACAGACGCGCCTACAGGATGTTGAAGAGTCGGGAGTAACTCCCTCGCGTACTTCCTTCCTTTGAGGGGCCCGTAGATTCTTCTAGGTGGGGCTAGCCTCAGTAGAATCCCTGCCGCTAAGGCATATTTATTATACTTCTCAGTTCATGAGTCATACCGCATTGCTACCGTCGAAAGAAGCCAAACTTGATTTCGTGTGTGCACGGTGGTAAGGAACGGGCAGGTATTGGAAGGAGTGATTTATTCGACGTTCCAACGAGCAGACGTGAAAACGGCGAGCGTCTACAGCGATGTAAATGGGGCCTTGCAAAATGGTTGGCGCGGCTAATTTGCATCTGGAATACTTCTAGACAAAGAAATACTATTAAACTAGCTGCCCGTGGCATTTCGGAAGCCTAATAGATCACCCATGGTTGGCGCCATCCGCAATGAAGAATCTTGACCGCAACGGCACACCCCAAACCAGCAGCATAGCATAAGACTGTGAACAAAATTAAGCCCCAATACTGTCCTCCGCAGCGAGAAAGGATCTCACCAGCAATTGGAACGCCAGTCAATGTGCTATGTCAGTCAGTCATCAGAATGTCACTGTCTCATTCGCCTGGTGACTCACCCAATACTGACGATAGTATAAGCAGTTGAGTAATACCGCCCATAATGCTCCGTCTTGCAAAGCTGCCCGATACATACAGGGGTCAGGCTGATATTACTGCCGCTTGCGAAACCAAAAAGGCAACAATAGACAATCAATAGAGGCTTGCTAGGGCCTGCCGGCAACCAAAGGCATGCGTTACAGACGAGACACATGGTGACGGTGACAATAAGCGCGTTGAACCGGCCGAGCCGGTCGGCAGCGTACCCGGGGAGCAGTCGTCCGAAAAACGAGCCGCCGTTGAGAATAGCGAGGAGTTGGTATGACAATTTGGTTGGAAGACCATAGGAAAGGGCATACGACGAGATGTATGTAATCGGAATGAAGAGGCCCCATTCGATGAAGAAAATCGATAGCGTTGTGAGCAGAAACCTGGGCTCACGAAGGATGTGAAAGTCGGGCAGGATGTTCTCCTTTTCGAAACGCTTCGTCGGTAGACGGGACGATATAAGCAAGCAGGCAATGATCAGGCATATGAGACATATAAGCGCCACGACACGTGTCGCCCATGCGAACCCGACCTTCGTGTATAAGCTCTCCAACGTGAGCGGGAAAATAACACCGCCGATCGAACCGCCTCCTGCCGCAATCCCGGTTGCCAGTCCTCGCTTTTGCTTAAAAAAATGGCCAACGGCCGCAATTGAAGGTGTAAAGATTAATGATGTCCCAACACCTCCAGCAACACCGATGGTCAAGATGAACTGCCAGTATTCTTTGCAGAACCCGATGCTGACCATCATTGCCATAACCAGTACAGATCCTAGGAGCACCAGAAGACGAGGGCCTCGAGCGTCGAAGATTGGGCCAACCTGAATGCCACAAAAAAATGTTAGGAAAGTAAAAAGCCCGAATATCCATCCTGTCTTTCCGGCCCCATATTGCATCAGTTGATGGCTGTCAAGGTACGCTTGGAAGGAGCCAATGGAATTGATCAAGCCCAAGCTGCCCACCAAGCCCATGAAGCTACCAAATACGCATAGCCAACCTTTGATGCCTCCTTCAGGGAAGCCGCCGCATTCGTCCGTCATTTTTTCTGACTCAGTAGGGTGCGAGGAATTCACGGACTCCATGCTCGCGTCTTGTTCGTCGCGGTTCGAACGGGCCTGTTCAGGAAAGCCTCTTAACTCTTGTTCTCGTGGCCCAGGTGACACCTATGCAGATTGATCGGGAACCTCTGGGGGTTTGTTCTTGGGGGTTTGCTCTGCCGCTGAAAAGTAGACGTCCAAAAGGTGGTTCAATGCAACAGCTTTGAAACTAGCGAGCAACAGTCGACAACCACTAGGCTACTATAATAGTCTGTCAATTCCAGTTGTCTGCCGGAAATCAACTAGTTTTACTTTCGCTGAGCCGAAGCTGATACGCTCCACGAAAAGTGATGTGCATTTATGGCCGACTAACGTTATAACGGAGATGATGACCAATGTCGGAGATGTCCCGTGGAAGTTTGCCTGATCTCCGATTAGGTTTCGGGGATATTCGGAGTGCGCCAAAGGTGTGTTACCAAATCTCCGACCCATCCGTTCGCCACAATTTCAGTCGGCTTCCTCGTCAACTTGTAATCTCCTGGTTCCCATGATGTTTTCTCCACCAATCCGTCCTTCCTCGAGCAGCGTCCACCTTGAAGCCAGTAACCATGCAGGAGACAATTTCTTCCAGGGGCAAGGCCTTCGCCGGTAAGAGGCCCGCCTTCTTTGACGTCCTCAGTGATCTCTGGGATCCGGAGTCCAATGTCACCGGTATTGTGAATATCGGGTTGGCCGAAAACGTGAGTGGTTCTTGAAGCGATTGTTTCATATGGCTAATTCTGCGATTCGCAGTCTTTAATACATCACGAGCTTGTGGACTTCATGAATCTCCAGGTACCATCCGATTGCATTTCTAGTCTTGCGGGTGTATATCCCACCGTTAACGAATCTGTCATTGACAATTACCGACTTAGAACAATGCGAAGGCCCATGCTCTTACATACGGGGATGGTTTTTCAGGATCCAAGGCGCTCCGAGAAGCGTTATGCCGGTTTTTGAACCGGAGGTTTAACCCTCATGTTCCACTTGTGCCGTCTCATCTGTTGGTAACCCCAGGCGTAAGTAATGCGGTTGAGTGTTGCGCCTGGTCTCTGTTCGAGCCAGGTGACCACGTTCTGGTGGGCCGACCTTACTGGACTACGTTTAGACACTTATTCGGGACACGAGCTGGGTAAGTGTCTCCCTGATGGTGGCTAAATCAAGCTAACCCGTCAGTGTGAATGTTCTCGAAGTTTCATTTGGATCTGTGGATCCGTTCAGCCATGAAGCGGTCAGACTATATGAAACGGCCTACAACACAGCCGTTAACGATGGGAAACAAGTCAAAGCCATTCTGCTCTGCTCCCCAAATAACCCTCTTGGTTAGTGCACACTGTTAATTAGCGTACAGGCGACTGTTTGCTCAAGTGTGAAATAGGCCGCTGCTACCGAAGGGATGTACTTGAGTCTTATATGGCCTTGTGCAACACGTGTCAATTACACCTAATATCCGACGAGATCTATGGGCTATCTGTCTGGAATAACCCGAGCTTGGGAGATAGCACCGCGTTTACGTCTGTTCTGGCGGTCAATGCTGCTCAGATCATGGACCCCAGTATGGTTCATGTGGTATGGGGTTTGAGCAAGGTAAAATACTAGTGACCGTTACCCCCCTGTTTCAGCACTATGGTCTGACCGAGCCTCTAGGACTTCGGTGCGACAGGTCTGCGGATCGGCTGTCTGATTAGCCAAGGAAATGCAGCGTTCCTCACGTCAGCGGAGGGCATATCGTATGATTGCTGCCATTGAACCTAATATCCGAAGGTCTGAAGCTGATAGATTCATAAAGGTTATTTAACTTCCCATCTAGTCTGGCCGATAATGTCGCTACTTCCCTCCTGATGAACAATGAACTTGTGGATCAATTCGTATCGTTGACGCAATCACGACTAGCGGAAAGCTACAACCACGTAACGGAGACTTTACGAAAGCAAAATATTCCATTTCAAGAGTCAAATTCTGCACTATTCGTCTGGGCAAATCTGGCAGCGGTTGTCAAAGATGGGCCTGTCCCAGACGAGGAAATTCTCTCAAGACTCTGGGCTAAGCGGGTGTATGTCACTTCTGGTTCAACCTATGCGAGTGAAAGGGAGGGATGGTTCCGAATAGTGATAGCACATCCCAGACATGTCCTAGACGAGGGCTTGGATCGCATTGTGTCTGCACTGTTGTAAGGTGATTCCCAAATGCCGTATGCTAAGAATACCCCCTTGCATTCCATTTCATGTAAAGCATCGCACGAGGCTTCCCCATATATTTTACCACAGAACTGAGGACTACTTATAAAAGCCCAATATTCATATATACCGGTATATCTTGTCTTCCAGTTCTAGTTCCCTGTACGGGGCCCTTCCAGATACATAATGGACGCCTGTATCTATGCCAATCAGTAGCCAACTGAGGGTGACTTGAATGCTGTGACCTATGGACGTGCTACATACGCCTTCACAAAGGGATACGATATTTCGAAATGACGCTAATCCCAAAAATTGGGGATAATATCCTTGTAGTCCGTAACTTGACTAGAAGTTATTACTAGGAGTTACTAGTAATCGCGAATCACCATCATAGTGCATCTAATCTCATCTAGGTACTACTACTAACCACTCGTCGGGCGCCCAAGGGAGTAAGTATGTGCAATTTGAAGTTTGATTTAGCCGTGTATTGATATATATTACGGGGTACTAGTATATACAAAGCCAACTCTGAGGTCTAACTCCGACCTTGTATGTACAAATCAATACACCGATCCTCTGCTCTCCGGAGACTTGTTGCTATGGCAGCTTGGACAGTCCCAGGAAAGCCAAGCGACAATAAAACGGTGAATTCCATCTCGTCACATGTGTCCACCGGAGCCCGTGATGGATAATAACGATCGCATCACTGTGCCGATGGCTTAAGCCTTTTGAGTAGATATCGCCACTCCATTAACTTCATGTTTGAAATAAAGTAGGGGAACAGGTGCTGCTGTGAGGCTTCATTGTACGAATGATAGGAACTACTGCAAAATAATGGATACACAATTACCAACTCATGTATCGAGTACACCGTTCCATGCATCCTATAGTAGCGAGTCAGACCAGCGCCTCTTGCGTCTCATATAGGAATAGAGCTACTTGCCCAGTTGACAGAGTCGACGTTCAGCCAAGGGACTGAATCAAACCATTCGTCAAGCACATTGCTAGAATCCGGACACATAAGCGAGCCGTCGGGATTGTCCGGCCATATCATAGTCCTAATAGGGCTTAGTCACCACGACATAATAGAGTATAACATATATCACATGGGCTCACCGTAAATGGCTTATGATCGGGAAAGCCTTAGCACAGATGGTGCTTCGTTCCTGAAGCGCCTTGAATCGGACGACAGCAGCATCAAACACGGATTTGTACGAGGATGCATTCAAAGATTCGGGTTCCATAAGTAAACAGGAGGCTATTGCCACTGCACCATGAAAGGCACAGAAACTTGTCATGCCATATACATACCAGCGATACTGTCGCAGTCGTGGAAGTTCGGCGAACTGTCGGTGGATTTCCAGCAAGGCCACCCCTGAGGTAGTGCACTTTAATTGCGACTCAAATCTGGGTGGCTGGCCCATCCGAGATCGGCAAAACGCTCGGTGAAGAAGAAGATAGAGCTGATGAGCATACTGTTGCAAGATACACCAATGAGCATAGCTCGACAAATCAAGCACACTGGGTTGCCCGTTTATAAGGAACTTGGCATCCCACTTTGCCTGTTCCTGAGATATTAGAGAGTCAAGTGAAGTCAGATTTTCTCCGGTCAGCTCGGTATCCCTGGAGAGAAGATCGCAGACGCGGCTAGAAATCTCAAACAGACGGAGCTTGAACATAATTACGGACATCTGGGTGGGTTGACTGGAAGGCGGAAGAATCATGTCGTCTCGAATATCAGTGTCGTTAACGTCCGCGGGCAATGTAACTTCGATCTCCGAGAAAGCCGAGACGTTCACATCGCGGAAAAGGATGGCTTGATAGGTATGGAGCATAAGAATGCCCGCCCAGCAACGACGGTGCTGCTCAAACTCAATCCAGCCCATAGTGGAAGGTTTGGTCTTTATATTGCAGCGTAGCGCAATACCGATATTAAGAGCCATGCCTGACCAAACGTCAATCTTAGTAACACTGAGGGTTGGAGGGCATACCTAACAGGACCCAGGTCTGTTCCACACCGTCATTATGGCTCATCCCATAGATGAGGATTAAAAGCGCCTGGAGAGTATGTAGGGAATGTCGAATAAGAAATTGATCTTGAGACAGACAGACCATTGCGTGATTACGAAACTTTGCTGCCGCGGCTCGAAAGCTCAAAGACTCGGTCTCTTTGCACCAGCTGTTTATCAAAGTAGAGTCACTTTCCTCCATTGTGTTTAACGTCACCGAACAGAGGACAAAAAGCAAAGCCATCCATGAGAGGTCTGTTTCGGCTTGGCGATCAAAGAATCGGGTGTATTCTTTCTGAAAGGTAGGCCCATGGAGGATATGGTACAACGGTGACAAACGGGAAAAGTACTGGATGACAAGATAGTCGCAACATTCCTTTGGGGGGAGCAGATTCAACAGATCCTGCTTCGGAATGTCTGGACCAAGAGAGAATGGGAAATTGAAGCCGTTCAGCTGGCACCCATGGCCATATCTGGCATACAAAGGCTGGTCTGTCGGCCGCTGGAATACTTCCTCCCAACGTGCATGGCTATCGCTGGCCGCCGGATTCTCAGGTGACTGAAGGAGGGAACGCCTATCATGTTCGGGAAGCGGAGCAAGCAGGCGGGAAGCACCGCCTCTATGAGGTGATTGCCGTGACGCATCATCATTTGTAGGTTCTGAATCATGTCCCTGACGCTGATTCCGATAGGTGCAGAGGCTAACCAGGCCACGCCGAGAGCATGACGTACAAGGTAGGCGTCGGTCACAGCGTAATTTAGAACGCCTGCATGGTTCGCAGTTGAGGGGCTTCCGCGCCCGCCGTATATGAAGTCTTTGTTCGCTGGGAGCGGCTTCTGCGGCGGATGGCGACGGAGACATTCGTGCCTGGCGTGCAGCTCGGCGCTAATCAAGGTTGATGAAGGGTCCGGAATTGGTGAGTGTAAAGCTCAGGATGGGTAAAATCCGAAAAGCGAATTGGTGTCATTTCCGAGTTTCGCCACCTTTCGGCGATGATTAGTTGTTTGTCTCCGTTCATAAGCCCGACAGCTGACTAACCCCTCGGACTTTAGCTCATTCTTCTGTCGGTCTTCGATTTCTATGGTCTTACGAGTATTTATAACGATCTCTACCAGTACACCTCACCACTACCCTCGTAATTGTAACTAAGTTAACTCTTCGAACCGAGTTTCAGTCAGGCCTTGGGCCATTGGAGGCAGCAGACGCACGAAATTCGACAGCTCAGATTAAGACCATTTTGCACAGCGCAGAGGCAGCTAGTGAGATGGTTTGCTTTAGTAGCACTCTTGAACATTCTGTAGGTGACTGGATACTACATGTCTTTAATCCAAGCTCATAGAGCCCTACAAGAGAAGCCATTTAATCGCAATACGTTCGATAACCGTCCTGAACGAATTTGTTATACTAGTCTCCTTATATACATCCACAAGCTAAAGGGTGCTGTTCTTCCCCCAATACACACCATCGCTTGAAGGTACAGAGACAAGTTGTTCAGGGAAGTCTGGGCACATGCAACGTCTGTCCAAGTCACACCGAGAAGATGTCGTACAGGGAAGTCGTCAGTCACAGCGTTTCGAACGACTAAAAGACTCGCAGCTGAGTGGCTTCCGCGCCCGCTTCCTTTGTTCATTGGGAGCGATCTCTGCGACAAAAGAGGATGGAGACATTTTTACTGGTTCGTTTGATCCAGATGTCTCAATTGATAGGTTGGGGATGGTAGGCGAAGTCAGGTGGGTGGGACGCAAAGAGTGAGAGATAAAGTCCGGCGTGGCCACCTCATCATCACAGTCCCGAGTTGTCGGCGATGGGGAAGGCTTATCTCCGCAATTAGGTCGGGTGGCTGACTAACGCGCGGAGTTGTGCAATTGTCCCTCTGGTCCTACATCTCTATCCTGGTTATGAACATCAGACGTAACCACTCGGGTCCAGGTGAACCGTTCGGTTGCACCTGGAAGGCTCACGGAGGCATACCTATTCGATATGCCGATCATATCCCTTATAAGCGTGCAAGCCTTTGACTAGAACAAAATCAAATCGAAGTCTTCTGACTTGCGAATCTTATGAACCTGCCTGCTTAGGAATTAAACCAGCCCCACTATTCATCCCAGCTTACACGCCATGGCATCGCTCTTCCAATACAGGCAAATCCGCCGGGCTATTCAACAGAAAATTGAAGGAAGTGAGGGAGAAATGCCTATGCGATCGGTATAACGTTGGGTCTCCTCACACCCCCAGGTATACTCCCACACACCGGAAAACAATGGCAATGTTATAGAGCTTACTCAAATTTCCTAGTTGTCAGCTTTATGATCCAGGCTTCACTGAAAATTGGGACAAACAGAGGGCAAACTTCGATGATACGGCCGCCCAGTCAGTCATAATTGTCAATTGGTCCAGAGAAAACGATCCGACCAACCCTGTAAATTACAGTACTCCACGGAAAGCTGTTATGACTTTGCTTGTCTCCCTTCTTGCTATCGCCGTCACCGCGTCGTCCTCGATAGACGCTTGCGGTGTAACGCAGTACAGTGAATATTTTAACGTCTCTGGTGTTGTTGGGTCGCTTGCGACAGGTAAGCAGAGCTATTTGATAAATCGGGACATGCGCTAGTACAGTCAAGCTAATAGTACTTCCAGCTATGTTTTCTTATCGGCTTCGGCATTGGTTCCCTGTTTTCTGGGCCATTTTCGGAAACATTTGGACGTAGTGCCGTCTATCTTGTTACCATGTTCGTATTTCTACTCTTCGTCATCGTATCTGCACTTGCCCCTACCCTACAAAGCCATCTGATATTCCGAGTTTTGGCTGGCTTTTTCGGTTCCACGCCTCTTACTTGTGCCGGCGGAACAGTGGCGGACCTGTGGAATCCCTTACAGAAGACTTACGCATTTCTCCTTTACGCTGTTCCGGCATTTGGCGGGCCGGTGATCGGGCAAACCATTGGTAGCTTTGTTCCCATCACCTTGGGATGGCGATGGTTGGAATGGATTATGCTTATCATGGAGGGTCTAACTCTCATGGTTGTTGTACTGGCACAACCTGAGACATATGGAGAGGTTTTGCTATAGTGGAAGGCCGCTGAACTGCGGAAGCAGACGGGTAATGATCAATACAGAGCACCGATGGAGCTACAACGAACCGATCATTATTCTTATGGGGTTCTCTATCTCACCATCGTATATATGGTGCTTTTCTCATTTCTCGAAGGCTATACGTTCGTATTTGGAAGGACATACTCACTCTCCCAGGGCCTTACGAGTATCGCATGGGTGGGCATGCTGGTCGGTGAGCTGCTTGTTTCCTGTGTCATTCCACTTGTATACTCCTGGACATGCAGAGAGTATAAACGGACTTCCCGTATCCGGCCAGAGGCGCGGCTATGGTATGCTACGCTGGGTGATGCTCCCGCCGTACCTATCAGCCTGTTCTGGATGGGATGGACTAGCTGTGTAGGTCCCAACAGTCCCACGGAAGCGTCGCGACTGTTAACTAAGTTTTATAGTCGACGGTCACCATCTGGTCGCCCCTCATTGCCTCGGTGCTGTTTGGTTATGGTATCACCACAATCTTCCTTGTCGCCTACATGTACATCATTGACTGCTATAGAGTGTTTTCAGCGTCTGCATTGGGTTTCGTGGTCTTTTCGCGGTACATAGTGGCGGGGGCGATCTCTGTGGCGGGTGCTCCGATATATTGCTCTTTGGGAGTTCAGTATACTCTTACTATTTTGGGTTAAATTAGTGCACTTGCAGGAGTGATCCCTTATCTGCTTTATGTTTATGGGCCAAGCATAAGGAAGCACAGCAAATATGCTACCAAGAAAAATTGAGCAGTCCAGATCACGAAATGCTTGGAGATGATTACCACTTGCAACCAAGGCCTCATCATACTTAAGAAGTCTTACAAGAAATTTCTGGGCAACAAATTATGTTTCCCAAGGCACTTAGGTTAGGACATCATTCAGCCAGGAACAAGAGATTTCTAGTTTGCAAGTGCTCATCACGCAATACTTAGATATTACAGTAATGGAGCCTATCTGCGTACTAAACGAGCGCATCTTGGTGGTCATGTCCAACTCCCGTCATTGCTAACTAAAGCGCCCACCATGTTTCTCGTTTGTCAGGATCGTTTTATAGCATTCTGGAGGTGTAGGTCATTTTCCAATAGTGAGGCCAAGTCGACCCGATGTCAATGCTTGTTTCATATTTCTGATAAAACTCATAAGTGCGGGCTTCATTGTGGGCTTGGAATAGCCCCTGAACATGTCACATTGTCCAAGATATTGCCCCTGGGCTTCTAACCTATTGCGATACAAAAGGAGTTTGATGGTTACTTATATCTGAAAATCGGGGATCTAGAAAAACCGTAAATGTCTGGCTGATGGGGAATTAGCCAGACATCTACTTCATAGGTTTCGTATACGAAACTCTCTCTGCTTGACCAGACCTCAGTTCACAACACTCCCTGCTACCTCGCGTCAGTATCTGCTAGTTTTGCTCTAGCGATGTAGTGGTTATATGGCCACGAATACATGGATTCTCCTTGCCTTTTCGCTCCAGCCATCCCTCGAAACCTTTACAGATAAAGCAGAAACCGGTATGATATTGTGAACACTATATATTATCTGTGCCAGCCTCTAGAAGATTCGCCGGCCTAGAGAACTAGAAGCCAGATATGAATAGAAAGGGCTCTTCTGGCGCATCATAGACCAGCAGTAACTGGTCGCTCTGTAACGGCCACGCCTGGAACCAATATAAAATCCCCTAAACCTTCGCAGCACTCATACCTACCAGTTTACCACGGGCAAGGATGTGGACAGCCATCAACGTTAAGAATGAAAACCCACAAAAGAACTGAAGTCCCGAAAATGATCTGTATTGGCGGGCAGTGATTATTTCTGTAATTAGCAAGCCTGTTAAAGTGCCAAAGGATTGGAACACAAAGAAGATACCTTGGTAGGTATTAATTTCATGAATGTCTGATATCTGGGTAACCAGAGTTGGGGCTAGAGAGATGAAGCTTCCTGAAAACAGGCTGTACATGACCATGAATGAGATTACGGCTGCCTGGCTTTGGCCTGGGATCCAGAGGGTGAGGCAGAAGATAGAGATGATGGCAGTGATGATGATGGCTATATTGTAGCAGCCAAACTTGTTGGCCAGGAAGCCGGGAATAATCTGACCAGGGATGCTATTGGTTTCAGCCTCAGTTTTGGGGTGTATATATTGACTGAGGGACGGGGGCTTGGGGTGAAGATTATCTTACAGTGTTGATGATTGGCAGCAGGTACTGCGCAATTTCACTGCGTATACCGGCTTTCTCAGCTTGAAGGATGATATAGTTAAAGGGTATAAATAAGCCCCAGTAGAACAGAAATGATGTTATGTAAGTTAAAGAGAAAACTGGATCATGGATACCTGAAAGAAAGTTTGTGATGTTGAAGGGCTTTGGTTGAAGTGGTAGCCTGCACCGCACTGTACATGCAGCAATAGCGAGAAGACTGAGGATTATGAAGGTAACAATGCGGATTGTCCACGGGAATCCGAAACAAGAAATGAGTTTGTTTATTATAATTAACATGATGACACCGCCGAGGGAAGAACCTGAGACTATAATGTTAAATGCATATATACAGCGCCGCTTGAATTATGAGAGCACTGAGGCGGTACAGCAGTTGAACACAGTAGATAAGCTGAAGGCTGCGATGATTCCTTGAGATAAAAAGATCTGGTAGTATCAGTCTGAAATTAAAATTATTAGTAACCCGAAGACGTAGACCAAGGCACTGGTGGTAAGTATCTATCTAGGCCTAAAACAGTCAAACAGGAGGCCGAACTGTGATTTATTATTATTAGGATTAAATTGAGTAGAGAGTAGCGCAGTTCTTATTATTATCCTGTTAAAAAGGATTTTCTATGCCTGGAAGGAAATGATCCAGCTCACAGCTCCTTGGCTGTAATGATGTAATGGGCCTTGATTACTGATATAGTAGGTCTTAAACACACTAATGTAATTGACAAGTCTGAATGTGCAGAACAGTCCATACCAGCAGCCAAGCACCACCATCCATGCTGCAGTGCCATCTTCAGGAAAGACATCTGCAGCTGGTCCTATGGCCTCTTGGGTACATGGATATTCTGTGGGGTTATTGAATTGTCCCTCACTGTTATAAACGCCATCCTTAGCGGTTTGTGGAGGATGCATGTTAAATGCTCGTTCCCTTTCGAAGACTGTAGTAAGAAAACCGTACTAAAGACTGGGGCCCTGAAATAGTGATGGATTCAGATCATGGGCATATTTCAACAGTGTTATATAGGTATTCTTGATCCGTACTGACTACGGACCAGCCGAAGGCTCAACGGATCTCCGAGGTATGCGCCTCAGGCACCAATAGGTCGGGCAGATATCTCCGTAAGCCCTTGTCTTAATCAAAAACCGGAACGCCGAAACCGTGAATTAAAGAACGGAAACCCTACTCCGAGTGCAGAAGTTTCTCCAGTTGCTTGACCTTTGGCTGAAGTTCTGGTCATTACTGAGGTAACGACAACGACGTAGCGTCTGAAATGAGTACTGTGCGCACAGCTATATTAGCGGTACATGTTGGCATAGATAGTCTAAGGTGAAACACATCGTGTGCGTAGTTTCGGATGGCATCGTTTCAACCTGCGCCGTCAACCCAGTTGCGGACGTTGGGCCGGTTACGGCGTGGTTTAGTCTTGGTCAGCCACCGACCAAACCATCAACGTAAGCAATAAGATCTCAAGCGGCACTCCCGAGGTGTTTGCACTATAAACTGCACCCTGCTTCATCCACCGCACAGCGCAGCTAAAATGCTTCCCACTGGTGCTTGTCCACCTGGTTCTCGACTCCAGAATGTCAGAACCCAACAAAAACGTCGACGAAAGATCTGGTCATGCAACGAGTGTCGTCGAAGAAAGATCCAATGTGATCGACTGTTTCCGGTCTGCGGTAGATGCTCCAAGTCTGGTAGAGCAGTTTGTTGTGTCTACATTGATGGTGTCCCGACACCTCCGGTAGCTGGGCCCAGCCAGCCTCGCGACACCGACGAGTCGGTTCATGGACGATGCGGTGACCCTGGTGAATCTTCGTCCGTACAGGGGGGCCCGTCAAATTTGGAAAACCTAGCTGAACGTGTACATCGTGTGGAATCTTCTCTGTCCCAGATCAAGACCGCACTCGCCCAACCCAACCGTCCTTCCGCGACACTGGAATCCGGCAATGAATCAGATATAGATGCCATGACTGCGCCTTCCGCTGACAAAAGTTGGGTTTCACAGCTGAGAGGCAGAGGTTTTGCGACTAAATTCAATGGTAGCAGTCACACCAGTGTGGTGCTTAAACAAGTGCCTGGCCTTCATCAGTTCACCGTGGAAGCTTTCGATAAATTCCCAGCCATAGACCAAATCCGTCGTGCCATACATAAGTCGGAAACGTGGAGCGATACAGCCAGACTTGGGACTCCTGAAGAATTACGTGGACTACTTCCGCCGAGAGCAGAGACAGATGCGCTGGTCGATGCGTATCTGGAGAGTTTCGAGTTGGTCTATCACATATTGTATCTTCCCGGGTTTAGAAGAGATTACGACGAACTATGGAGAACTGGAAGCAATCAGGAGCAGCAATTCGTTGCTGTCGTCTTACTCATTGTTGCAAGTGCACTGTGTTTGACGTCAACTGGGTCTAAGGACATAGCTTGTGAACGCCCGTCAGCCCGCGACAGAGCTACAATAATTATCCAGGCTTGTGAAAATTGGTTCCAATCAAGGCCCCTGCGATATAACCGGTTGCTTGACTTTCAGGCCTCCTTTCTGCTGTTGTTGGCACGCCAGCTGAACGGGCGAAGATACAAGCAAACCTGGCCGAATGCAGGGAAGCTTGTTCGGATTTTTATGGGTGTTGGTCTGCATCGTGAGAGCACAAATCTGACAGGGGAGATATCAAGTCTGGATAGGGAGTTGCGCCGACGGATATGGGCTGCCGCCGCCGAGTTCGAATTGCAGGCATCTTTTGAACAGGGAATGGCGCCAATTCCTTGGGTGCAGCAGTCAGACATCCACCCGCCAAAGAATGTTCCCGATGATGTTTTCGATGGCTCGGCTGATTCATTAAAGGCATCCCATACGCTCAATCCGTCGTGGTACCTGTCTGTATCAACAAAGAGCCTCTATTTGCGCCACTCGCTTACCAATGTGTTAAATGACATCCATGCTGCGGTCACCTTCTCGGATACCAAGGGGTTCACGGAGAAAATCATGGCTCATTTATCTGCGGTACCTCCATGCAGCACACTTAAAACCAAGCCCATATCGGCCTTGCTCTACATCAATCTGCAGCAATACCAGTTAGCACTCCATTTGAGACAAACGTCCCTGTCAGACTCTTCGATAGAGAGAGATTTCTCCCTCATGATAATGTGGAATACTGCTACGGAAATCATCAAGATCCATCGAGCCGTGTTTGACAATGGAAATAACCTACTAGAGCTGCTCTGCGGGGATCAGTTCAGAGCTGCTTTGTCGATCTGTTATGTCTACATAACATACCATGCGACGAAAAATGTCACCTCTCTGAGCCTGCCAGAACACGATTTCTTTCTTTTCATGAAGGATGCAGTGAAACTGATACAAAACAAGGCACTTCGCTTCAGCGGTGATCAGAGACAGCTGTGGATTGCTGTGGCATCTCATTATTTCATGAAACTTTTCAAAGAACCACACAAGAGGGAGTATTTCTTGAAATTGGCAGTTGAAGAGTTCGTTGCACCGTTCTGTAACGAAAGCAATCCCTCGTTGGAGCCTGCCGATAAGACAACCATTTCGGAGAGTACTCCCGCTACGGTTGCAGCTTCCATGATGCCATCTCTCGATGACTCGACCGTCGGACAGACTATCTTCGATGATGCAGTTGATTGGAGTTGCTGGGAAATAGGTCTTTTAAACACCCAAGATTTCACGGATACTTTCTTTGATTTTGATTGACCCCGTCCATAAAACTTGGAGCACGCGGTTTAGGTTGATTTGTGAACGATGGGATTAATGGGGCCATTGGTCCATCCGTTTCCCCTCACGGAACAAACGCTGATTTTGTGGCGTCCAACGACTCGCACTAACGAACAGGCTTATGAAAGAGACAGTCCTTAGGGAAGCTCTTTACTATGGCAATGTCTTCTGCCTCTCGGGCTGGAACGAAACCATACCATATTGGGATACCCGAAGTCTCATATCTCTGTAGGTATTCATAAGTTCATACTGTGTCCTTGCTCTTGTCCATTGCGTTGAAGGGGAAACCACCCTACTCTAGGCCCGAGCCTCCACACAGTGGAGCATGGCTTTTTCCATCCTTTCTGAATATAATGGAGTGAAGTTGGGGCCAATTCGATCTGTGCGTTTCTTTGCTATCTCATTGGTCTTCACGGCACTGGAATGTCGCCTATTGCCGTTAATGATGTAGATCCTCTGTGTTCGACTCGATATAGAACAGATGGCAACTTGCTTTGGGAAACTGATTATGTACATGTGCACCCTCGAAGGCAGCTAGTAATGCAAGACGCCACATTAAACCCTCGGCAACAGCCAGGCCGCTCGGAGTGGTTTGGGACTGCGAACTAAGATGGACAGAGCATGCACATCAGCACAAGCAGGTCACAAAAATGGAGTGTGTTGGAAGAAACGCCGCGTAAATGGCCGCGCCTCGCAAGCCAGCGTTCGAAGGCTTCTGGATCTCGTCGGGCGACTTCCCCAGGAACTCCGCGACTACCCTTTCAAGTCTGGCTATGTTGGTAGACCCTCCGGTAAGGATGATCTCATCTACAGCGGCCTTATCAAGGTCCGCCTCACGCAACGCCTGGGAAATGGCTTGTATAGATGCATTGAAGACCGCGCTGTTAACTTCATCCGTTGAGAGGGGGGGTTGCCCAACTTGGTCGTATGCTTTGCCCCTGGGTAGAAGTCTCCCTGTGACGCATTTGACGTCCAAGAGATGGCCCAATGCCTCAACAACCGTGACGTCTACTCGCGTTGAGCCGGCGTCGAGGGTGAGAGCCTGGATACTGGGCCTGCCAGAATCTACGAATAGCCCCATTACCGCAGCCACAGCCGTGCTAGTCAGACGCAAGACGTTCCATCCCGCCTCCTTAGCAACATCACTGATGAGCTGACGCTTGGAATGTGCGTAAAAAGCAGGAAGTGCAAGGACGACGTTATCCACGGGCTCCCTAGCGGATGTTTCTGCCAGCGCCTTCAGCTTCTGCAACATCACAAGAATGGGCCCACGGGTCAGTGACAGTATTTCCGGACGCCAGTCCAAAGAACAAGAACCTTTCGGGAGGAGGTGAGTGCATGGGATCTTTCTGCAGCCATGTTCATCGGAGATCAATTCGACTCTTCCGGCTCGTGGAATGGCAAGACCGCAGTAAGCCAGTCCAAACTCAATCGCTGCGACAATTGGCATCGCGCACGGCAGGCTCCTTGAGGACGCGACGTGAATGTTGTTTCGTATCAGATAGCCGAGATGAATTCGTTCGGACGACGATTTTACACTTTCAACAGAAGTGATTGCGAGGTTCAGCCTTTTGTTCAAAACAACCATTTTAATAGTCAGTAGGTTCTTAAGTCATTTAAAAAAGGAAAAAAAAAAAAAAGCAGAATAATTTTAAAATTAAAATAGAAGAAATAAAGTATTTTAACTAAAATGCTAACTATTTAGCCTGGGTGCCATCCGTAGGACAAAGTAAGTAGTAGTTTTTTGTAACTAGTTATCTAGTTTAGTTAGTCAGCCTCAGGCATTTCAGTCCTAGCGGACGCCGATGCCAAGCACCTGACGTCTGAACATCTCTCGAATGAAGCCGCGACATTTCCCCATCTTCATTGAACCCGCTAGCTACAAACAAAATCTCTCCTACAACGCGCATCTTACTGTGAAGACATGTGTTCATAGCGTCAACCTTTTAAACCTCCCCGGAAAGGATACCTTTCGCAAAACCACATATGATTCGGAAAACCTCCACCCTCCGCATCGCATCGCATCGCATCCAGCCATGAACAACGACCAATTCCGTCGCCTTGTCCTCGACAACCCTTCCTCCAAACCCGCCGGCCAATCCACCAGTCCAGATGCATCCTCTTCATCCCAACAACAACCACGCAAAAGCATCGGCAATGCGACCCCCGCAGCCGGCGCTCTGGGCTCGCGCCTCCGCTCCAGCATCCCCATGACACCGTGAGCTGATCCCCCCAAACACCACCTGCGCTTATAACCTTACCTTTATTTTACATGGTTGACCTTACTAACGAACCCTCTTTTCGTCGCAGTCGCGCCTTAACAAACGTCGACTTTGCGCGCCAACTAGCCGAATACCGCCGCGAAGCCCAACCCGCTTCCAAGAAATTCAAATCCTCCGCCGCCCCCAAGGGAACGAAACTACCGTCCGGATATCAAGATCGGGCTGCATTGTTGCGCCAGAAGGAAGAAGCGGAAGAAGGGGGAGATGGTGGTGGTGATGTGTCGGATCTGGAGAAGCGTGTTAAGGCGTTGGAGGAGATGGTCAAGCTAGGACAGATTGACCAGGAGACGTTTGAGAAGCTGCGTGCTGAGATGGGCGTGGGTGGGGATTTGAAGAGTACGCATATGGTCAAGGGGTTGGATTGGGAGTTATTGAGGAGAGTTAAAGGAGGCGAGGATGTTGATGTCTTGGAGAAGGAAGGGGAGAAGGGTGAGGGGAAGGAGAAAGAAGATGTGGCAGATGTGGATGAGGAGTTGGATCGGGTGTTGGGACAAAAGGGCGAGGGGGTGGATGCATTGACTGCTGCCCCGAAGGAGACTAAGGAGAAGAAGAAGGGGGTCATGGCTCAGAGAAAATCAAGAGACGAGATTCTCAGGGAGTTGAAGGCTAGTCGGGCTGCTGCTGCGGCTGAGGCGGCGAAGCCGGCTGAGCCCGCGTTGGGGACTAAGTTCAAGAGGATCGGGGGAGAGTCCAAGGCGGAGAAAAAGCGTTGGGTGGAGCAGGATGAGAATGGGCGACGGAAGGAGATTCTACAGATCACGGATGCGGAGGGCAAGACGAAGAGGAAGGTGAGATGGCTAGGCAAGCCTGGTGAGGTCGGTGCTGGTGCTGGTGATGGACCTGCTGGGTTATTGATGCCGGACAAGGATGCGAAACCGCTGGGCATGGAGATTCCAGCAGAGGTTGCATCCAAGGCTCCCGCGCCGGCGGAGGATGATGACGACGATATTTTTGCTGGCGTTGGAGATGACTATAACCCGCTTGGTGATCTACCAGATGATGATGATTCGTCTGATGAGAGTGAAGATGGCGAGAAGCCAAAGGCCATAGAACCAGCTCCTGCTACTGGTGATACGAAGAAACCGGAGATGACAACCAGCCGGCCTCGAAATTACTTTTCTACGTCTACAACGGATGAAGTTCCTGAGGTGGACCGGTCGAACCCATTGGCTAAAGATCCTACTCTACTGGCGGCTCTGAAACGGGCTGCTGCGTTACGACAGTCCGAGGAGGCTGGTGCTGCTGATGCTGACGCCGGAGATGTCGACGACGAGACGGCGCTTCGACGAAAGAGGTTCCTGGAGGAGGCGCGTCGGCGGGAAGCCCTGGATGCAATGGATATGGACATGGGCTTTGGAGGAAGCCGCAATGACGATGACGAGGAGGACGAGGACGTGGTGCTGGAGACCGAGGGACGCGGCGGGAAGAAGAGGAAACGAGGGCCGAAGAAGAAGAAGGGCGACAAGGACAGTGTGACGGATGTGATGCGTGTGCTGGAGGGGAGGAAAAAGGAGTGATGTTGAGATGAGCAGATTATACACGATTTATCAGGGGTGGTGCCTGGAAAGGAAACCAATCAAGATGCCTGGTAAATACGACTATCACACCTGGACCCTTTTCTGGACCGCTGTTACCCTACAGTGATCGCTGCATCGTACCGGAAACCAGAAAGTAATTTCCGTGGGACTCAGTTCCTTCAGGAGCAGCAAGTGATATGCTATTACGAACTTACGTGCAGTAGGTCGCCTTCCACAGGAGCTCATCTGCACATCATCTATGACCTACGACCTACACACACATACAATATGAAAGGCTGAGATGGTACATTGAGTATCCCCCATCAATCCAATCCCGTCTCAAAGGAGAATCGTAAATAGTGCACTACTCTATATCTCCTACCCAGCCTCCAGTAGGTTTCTACCGCAATCAATAAACATGGCAAGATGTAAATTCCACCTCAACAATTACCATTCACCCAGTATGACACATTATACCATAATTTCCATCAACTCATCCATTCATCCAACTCATATTATACACCCCCAAACCACCAGACCAGACCACCCCAAGAACAACCAAGTATGTCCCTTCACGGGTAGCACAGCACACTATCGACATAAACCGGCTCCGACGAGGTATGTTCACCAGGCTGCAGGAGGGTGTTTCGTCCGGTGCAGCCTACTCCACTATAGATACATGTTCGAGTCAGTATGCACTATGGAAAGTCAAGTATCATGGAGAAAAGAAATCACTTACGTGAAAAGACGACAAGTCTTGGAAAGGAACACGCCTCGAACTTCACTGTGACGGGTAATAATAATTTATGTTAATTGAAACCGCCCTTTCTCTCTTCCTTTCTCTTTGCAAGTATATATAATCATCAAATGAAGTCGATATTGGTAGGTGATCAACTTACAACTGTCCAACCTGAGTACAGTCATCGAAGGGGATCTGAACCGAGTGGCTGCCTTCGTCTGTCTCTAGACCGATCTGTATACAGTAGTCAGTCAGTCAGTAAAAGATCTTATCCATATATTCATCCATTGTAGGGTTGTAACCAGCTGCGCTAGGTAGTCAAGATAGTTAGGATAGAACACGTACAGTCGTACTCAACCTCGCACTCCCAACCCCAGCCAGAAGCAGCGTGCTCAATAGAGTGATGGCTTTGAAAGAATACATGATAGCGATAGCGATAGCTGGATGATTACGATGATGATATTCGTATCTATCTCACTGATAGGAGTCAACTGATGGTAAAAAAAAGAGACACTCAATCGCATGCAGCAGCAGCAATAGTGCAGAGAACAGCGTAGCGCATATTTAAGAATGTGTCCGTCCTTCCCTTCCAAGGGCGAAATGCCAGGTTTACTTACATAACTCGCCTTCTTTTCCGCGTACGGCGATTCACTCATCCCTTGCTTGGGGAGGTGGGAGGGGAGGCAAATCGCGTTCAATCCCAATCTAGGGGGGATGGATGGTTCCTTTTCTTTTGCCCAGCCACGCGATATTTGGGTTTGCTTTCAGGGTTTATATTACATTTAGTAATAGGTACTAGATATGCATGTATGCATGCATGCATGCATGCAGAGAATATTTAAGGTTTGTGTTTGTTGGGTGGGTGGGTGGGTGGCTTATATGTGCTTATGGCATTCAGGGATTGGTGCTCGCGTGGTAGTCAGGAACTGGGGGGTTGATGTGATGTGTTTTTGTAGATGGAGAAGAGTGACTTTTCTATTTAGAAGGAAAGATTCCATTAAGGAGGGCTTAGGTGTCTAGGTCCGTGTTGATAAACTCTGTTTATGGTTGCGGGTGCATTACATACACAAGGGGTGGGTTTGGAGAAATACAATACATTCCACTTTCCAGCTTGTTGAAGAAAACTCGTTCAATTGAAGTAGTACACATAGATAGAGTATTATGTAGTGGCATGTGGTAGCATGCGATTTGTACCTAGGGGGCGCTGATATTGGATGTTTAGGTTGTCTTTATTCTGTAACTTCTTAGGGCAGTGACGGTGGTATATGAATATATATATCTGCATGGGTGAGTGTATGTATCGTGCAGAGGGGTAGTATTGCTATGACGTTCACTATGAGTTCAACTACCAAGTCATAGCTGCACTCGCGAAGCAAAAGTATAGCAGGTACTAGTATCATGGGTGGCGGAGCATGTTGAAAGGTGCTCCTCTGACGAGTCATGTAAAGCGAATTGCATACGCTATATTGAAAATAATATAGATGCAGGCTAACGATAGCTAATTACCATGCCCATCTTCAAAGTATATGCCAGATAATTCAGTCTCAAATGAACATCGAAACAGAAACAGGAAGCAACATGTAAGTGTGACAGATAATGCATGAAGATCCGCCAAGCAAGAACAGAATAGAACCCAATGAAAAACCCCAACGCCCTAAGCCGCTCACACATCGCGAGAATGCCGGCTATATGCAAGATGATGAATGGTAGTGAAGAAAACAGTCAGCTAACGGATGGTCAATCAGTCAAAGCCAGGATGATCCATCAATCCATGCGTTGCTGGAGTGTTCTCCGCCGGGTCCGCCAACGCTGGCAACTGGTACCGGTCTGGTACCGTCGGCCACGCATCCACCCCATCTAACAGGGCCACAGCTAACCCACCGCTCTCGTGCATGGACAGATGACAGTGCATGAAGAACGGACCGGGGTTGACCACATGATAGCGGATCGCTAACCAGCTATGGTTCGGCGTCGATGCCGGCGTCTGGAAGGTGTCGCGGAGTTGAGGATTCACCACATTGAGGCTATCAGGGATTTCTTTCATTGCCTCGGCCACGGTAGGCCATTTCCATACCCCGGCGCCCCAGCCAAGGACAAAGAATTTGTTGGAGTGTTTGTGGATCGGGTGCTGCGGCTGCCCGATCGAGGTCATATTAAAGATAATGTCTACCCAGGTGTTGTTCTTAGTCATGACAGTGTATTCGGCGGGGATTGAGGAGTAGTTAAAAAGTGCAGGGGGAGTAAGATCCTCATTGGCCATGGGATAACTGGCTTCGCCGAGGGTCCAGCGATAGGAGGCGTTATAGAGGTTGACTTGAAGGATCTGGGTCTGGTCTGGCTCGGGAGCAGGCGCCTCCTGTTCAAATGGGACGATTTGGGCCTCGTCGAGAATGATAGTGCCGTTGATACCAGCCGCGGTACCGACTTCGTTGATGTAACGTGTAGAGGTGTTGAGCTGGCTTGGATTAGAGCCAGAGTAGGACATCAGGGCGGTGCCGTTGATGATTTGGTTTGCGAACTTGTTAGCAACGCGGACGGTATATATGCTAATGGGTTGGTCTAGCTTCACAAGGACCGAGTACCGCGATCCGGCGTACACATTGATAGCATCGACCACCAGGGGATCGACATAGCGGCCATCGACCGCATAGAGATACATAGGATGTTCATCGATGGAGAAAACCAAGTTGGACGTGCCAGGTAGGCTGATGAGGTCGTAGCTGACGTATCGGGTCCTCGGGTCGACGGAGAGCACTTCTTGCTCACCAACGGTCGGTACACAACCCTGGTAGTACCCCGACGGAATCTTGCTCACGTCGAACGGGAACCCGCCCAGACGGGCTTTAAGGGGTGGCATGCAGCTGATACATGGTAAGTGAACCGATCGATAGCATGCAACAATACCAACAAGGAAGAAAGCAAAAGAATGAAGAGATCAAGAACGAAGAAGACAATAGACCTACCCCATATCAGACATGGTTGCATTTCCTGCGCTTGAAAGCGCAGTCCATTCACCCGATCGGGTGAGGTCATTGATGTGGTCCTGCGGGGGGCAGATAACCGACCCTTTACCATTGACCAGGATGGCATTAGTACAGGTCGCCTGAACTCCAGAGTCTTCTTCGATTTGCAATGTCTCCTCGGACGTGAAAGCTCGCCAATCGGAGAGCATGATTGGATGGGTGTTCTTTTCAGCTTGCAGCATGGCTTGGAGTTCATACGGGATGCTGCTGATCTTGCTAAACGGTCTCTGCACGTCTGCACGCGGTTCTACATAGATGGCACCATAGAGACCGTCGTCCATCTGGGCTCTGGTGTGGGCATGATAGGCGTAGGAGCCGTAATCGGTGGCTGTCCATTCATAGTAGAATTGCTCACCAGGCTTGATCATTTCTTGGTTGAGGCCTGGGACCCCGTCTGACCATGGGGTGCCATACTGTGGGATACCTAGTCCGTGGGTCAGCATCTCACCAAAGGAACCGGGCCGAGGATTGGGATAGGCGTGTTGCCGCGCTGCGATGAGCTTACCGTGCCAGTGGACTGTGGTGCCGAATGGCATGGAGTTGTTGACCAGAACTCTCACCTGGTCGCCTTGGTTCACGCGGAGATTTGGTGCTGGGACTTGGCCATTGGTGTGGATGGCCTTGCGGGAGATACCCGCAACATTGCTATCCTCCCATGTCAAGTCGAGTCTGAAATCCACGACACGGGAAGAGGAGAATTGGATGAGGCATGACAGGACTGGCAGAACCAGCGTGTTGAGCTGGGTCCACTTCATGCTGGGCGAAGTGCCAGGAAAGGGAGCGGCGGATAAGTAATGAGTTGACTAACTCTCTCTGAGCGGATCGAGATGTGCGATGAATACGATCTGAGATCTCGATGCCGGTCGAGGCGGGACTTATAAGTTTGGAGCGCCATACTTGTTATTGTGCTTGTTATGAAGGAATTGGGGAGGGTTCGGCAGAGCTGGAGCATAGAAAGATGGTTTACCGAACTCGGGCCAGAATGTCGGCTTAAGGAGTGGAATGCAGAGGAAAGCGGTAGCGTTATTGACTCGAAGGTGCTCATAGTGTTCGGAAGCATCTCTTTAGTTTTCTTCCCCAGCAGGGATGGGAAGGGTGGAATGAGGCGAGGATTGGGCGTCTGCGATCTCGATCCTCGATCGCTTTCGCTTCCGGGGCTGCTCTCGCTGCACGTGATCTCTTCCACCCTCCCGCAAACAAACAATCTGCTCAATTGGATTGTTTATGGCCTGTTTAGGGTCATCTTCCCAAAGTAAGTGGTAAACGCTAGTTATCTCTATCTATACCAGGATGTATTAGATAGTATACCACTACTTTTACTATACATGCAGTTCCCCACTGCAACTCCCCACATCTTCGGGATGATCCAACCCGATCGCACCCTAAAGAGGATCAATTCACTAACTAACTGGTTAAAATCCAATGAAGACAGACATCATTGCAGCGCGGTGCTTGCATCTAAGCCCAACATTCTAGACAACATTAGTAGT